CGTCTTCTTTATTTGAAAATTTTAATCTAAATTTTTTATCATCCTCAGGTCTGTATTTTTTATCTTCTTTATCTTCAATCTGTTGATCTTCATTTTTTTTGTTCTTAACTTTCTTCATTAGACCCTTGAAGAATAAAGTTATTTAAGACAATCCTAAATCTTCTAATTTTGCTTTATTCTATGCAATTTTTTGCAGTATCTCTTTCTCGTATTCTAACATAGCTTTGTGCAAAGTGATACCACTTAAAAAATAAAAGAAAAATATCAAATGAATAAGTGGGTATAGAAATCCTAAAAAAAACAAACAAACGAGGATATATAAAAGTACATCAAAAGGGAACAACAAATTGTATAAAGAAAAAAAAAAAAAGTTAAATCACTGCAACAACTAAGATTATAATGTACACAAACAAAGAATGTTAAATAGCAAAAGCTACGGAAGAAAATGAACCTACAACGTATTACAATACCTGGATATATTAAAGATGGTAGCATGAAAGATCTAACAAATGATTGTTCTTATACTTGGAAAAGTACTTGACGTGTGCGAGAGAGAAAGGGTATAATTGCACATTGGAAAAAAAGTCTTATAGTTTGTTCATACTTGGAAATCTATAGCAATTTCAGCATAACTGCTAGGGAGTGCAATATTTCCTAAAGCAATGAAAATATTCCACAATTTATCTGCAAAGCTTTTCACCTTACTTTCCCAAATGGGCCAAATCAAAAAGGCACTCCTCCCTTTTCCTGTTTCACTCCCAAATCATGGTAGCAACTCCTTTGAACAGCGGTTTCACTCTCTCGAGCACTATGCATATGTTTAATGAAGACAAAAGTCTAGAGCCATGAAGAAAGTAAAAAACGAGCGGGAAGATACATGAGTGTTAAAGTCCAGAGCGGTGAAGAAAGTCAAAAAAGAGCTGGAAGAGATATGAGTGCTAATTTTTTTTTGTTTCCCAGGTATACACTTTTTTACAGTAGCTTTTTTTAATTTTTCCTCCATGATTTGATCCACTCACAAATTTATCTGATTAATGGAGCAGTTTTTTCTGCAAAATAGTTGGAATCATGATTTCATTGGTAGTTTTTTTTTATCCCTTTTATTAATTAAAAAATTTAATTATATATGAAATGTTTTATTGATTTATCATATTAAATAAGTTAAGAAAGAAATAGGTTAAATATAGAGATCACAATACCCATTTATTTCCTACTCAAGTTGTTATTCAAAGATAGAAAAATAAACTTAACGATCTAAATACTCAAAAGGATGGTTAATGTGGATATCTTAAAGAAGGAAGCCTTATAGTTTTAACAAAAGAAAGTGGTACTAAAAGGAGGTTCATTTTGAGGTTATACCTAATTCTAATATTGCCCAACTTTCTCAAATAACAATAGATAATTTGTTGTAACATATTTCTAAGAAGAAAGGTGATAATGTTTTAAATTTTATGAAGCCTTGTCAAATATAAAGTCATTAGTCCAAATGGTTTCTATGTGAGTTTCTTTTAAGACTTTTTAGGATACTTGTTGGGGATGATATTTGTGCCCTGGTTAATCATGCTTTTTTCATGGACATTTTAATGCTTCATTTGTAGAGATTTTTAATGGTTATCATACCTAAATTAGATAACCGAATTGACTTAAAGGATTATAAACCTATCACATATGAAATTATTGCCAAGATTATTTATTGCGTAAAGATTACATTTTTTTTATCATTAACGTTATGGGGTAGGCTTTAAAAGTATGTTTGAATGAGGTATTCTAAGTGAGTAATTCTTTTTTTTTAAAAGTTTACAATTCTAAGTTAAATTTTTTTGTTTAAATATTTAATGTTAAAGAATTTAATATTCTCAGAATTTTTAATAAACTACAATCAAAGAATTCTAAATCCTAAGAAAAGAGTGAGAATCTATAATTTTTTTCATTTATTATGTGTTTTATTCATATTTTTATTTATTTTTGGTTAATTTAATAATTTAAATTCCATATTTTTAATTTTATCAAATATGGTCATAGTTTTGTTTCTTTAAGAATATAAATAATTTAATTTACTTTATCCAAAAAAAAATTGAAAGGAAAGAAATTCAATTATTATATCCAAATAAAATACTTTAAAATAATAAAAATTTATATTATGTAATTTAAATTTCTTAAAATTTTTAATTACGTCATCCAAACACAATTTTAGAGCAGCTTCATTCTTGCTGAAGGAACCTCAACTATTATTATCATTATTTATTCTAATATTAGTGTTAAGTTGTACCTAAAAAAAAGCTTATGCTATAGTGAACTAAAAGCTACTAAAGCAAGCAAACACTTCAATGATTTGGTTTTCCTCCTATAAAAATCTTGATCATATATTTTTTCCCTATAACTTTACTAGTTTGTTGTAGAATAGTGAAAAACTTTCTTCTTTTAATTTTACGAGAGGATCTTGTCAAAAAAATAGTTGTTGAGTTTTTGGGATCTCATCTTATGTAAAGAAAAAGTCTAAATATATTAACTCATTATGTCTCAATAAAACTAGTAAAGATAGATAGATAGGAAATGAAAAAAAGAAGAAGAGAAATTCATTACAACAAAAACATTTAGAGAGAAGAGAGAAAGAGAATTTGTTGTTATTTTTGTATACTACTGGACTATTATTTTTTATATTATAACTGAAAAATCATTCGTCGTTGTATTAAGCTGATTTTTGGACAGTAAATTTGTGACACGTGAATCTTCATTTTGTTTTGTTGGATTATTATGACAAAATTTGAAGAGGGAGAGATGGAGGTTTCAATTTCTTACTTTGCAACTAAGGTCTTTTCATCTTTTTATCTCTTGTTTGTAACTATTGGTATTTTGTTTGTCTTGCCTATTTATAAGCATAGTTTGTACACTTATTAGAAATCTTATATCCCTTATTGATTGTAATGAATTATTTTTTTAGTTTGCACAACTTGTAATTTTTTACCCTTATTTTGAAGAATTTTTTACATTAAAAATTATCTTTTTCTTATACTATTTTGTATTTATATCATTGTGTTGATTATATTATGACTTTACTTAAACTTGTGGATAAATTCTTATAAAAAATGAATAATTTTTTTTTATAAATTAAAAATAACTTTTTTATAAAAGTAAAATGAAAATAAATTTTAAATATAAAAAATATAAGTAAATTTTAATTTATATAAGAAATTATTTATTTATTATATTATATTATTATTTTTCTCTTACAATAACTTATCTTTGAATGTATATAACGTTTTTCTTTAATATATTAACGAGGAAGTCATTAGAAATTCTTGGTTGCCAACACGGTTGTCTAGTTACTAAAGTGATATTATATGTTTATTATATACATTTAGATGCACATTAAAAAATTAATTTAATATTATATGTTTATTATGCCAAAACATAAAAATGTCCCTATTCAATCAAAATTCCACGAAAGTGAACCTGGCCCCAACGACCTAACTATTCCGTGGCCTAACCGCGTATTTCGCCACCATTTTCATTTGGTGGACAGCAAGATCTAATTAAATAAAACTTAAGTATAAAATTTTAACATTTAATATTAATTAAAATTTATTTTAATATTAAATGTATATTTTTGGACAACTTTTTTTTTATTTAAAATATTTCAAAAACTACACTTAAAATAAAAAATTTACAATAAATTTTAATAAAATAAAATAAAACAAGGACCTTAGTCAATACGTAAAAAATTATAATTACTTTTAATCAAAAAAATAAAGTAAACAAAGACCTTAGCTATGCTTAAAGGTAGCCGACAATGACTCTACATTAGCGACCACCTCATAGCTAACATCACTAAAATAAGTAATTAGTAACCATTGTAACTATGTTCTCATTTTCAGATAAAAGCAGTATAAAAAATTTTCAATGATAAAATAGTGAGATTATTTTTTAATTAATTGTGGATTATGATTATGACACGGTGCGTCATTTTCATTTGCACATGCAGAAGACAACTGAAACCAAATTCACAAAGGACAAATTTATATATTTTTAGTATTATATTTTAATTTAAATTATAGTTTTATCTTAATAATTTATAATAATTTTAAATGTATTTTTTATTGAAGTAATATTTTAACTTTGATTAATAACTGAACGGTATTAAAAATCCTAAAAACGCCTACAAGAAATGTATATAACAAATTATTCAATTTCTTGTTATATTTACATTTTTACCCTAAAAAATTAACTCTGTTTTTTTATAAAAAATAAAATGAAGTAATTTTTTCTTAATTATAAAAAATATAGGATAAATTTAAAATATACTAATTACTAAAATTTTTTTATACCATTCTTTTATTAGTATTATTATTATATATAAGTTATCAATTACATCATTTAATATTATCGATATTTTTAAAATAAATTTTATATTTATAAAAACTATAACTTATTTAATTTTTTTTATCCTAATAACTTAATATTTGTTTTTTATAAAAAAAAATGAAAAGAATATTTTATATTTAAAAAACATTTCTTAAAATTCGATTTGATAAGAATTTTTAACTTGCTTGTATGATAAACAAACCTTGTATAGCTTTTCAAACAAAAACACACATTTGAAGATAAATTTTCTCAGAAAAGTCTTATTTCTAGTTACACCCAATTTTGTTAACAATACAAACATGCATTAAAATGCATAAATTGATATTTACTAATTAGTATTTTTCTTTTTGCATGCATAAATGATTTTAATAAACACCAATATCTCTTGCAGACCAAAGCGTGCTTGCTGAATCAAATGATGATTGGTTTGCATACTCAACATGAAGCTCTAATTTTTAAAAGACTTCCGTCTAAGTATTCTTATTCATTGATTGATGCCAAACTTGAAAATAAGTATAAATAATTAAACCCTGTTAGAAGTTACATATATGTGATTATATTCTCAATAGATTATGCAAAAGAAAACATTTGAATGCAAATCCTCATATAGTAAATCTAACTAATGAGGGGCTTAATGGAGATTTAGTTACTTAATTATATGTGAGAAGCTTTAAAGGGTCAAAGGAGAAAGGGGAAACAAGTGAATTTAATTAATGGTAAAGAAAAAAGAGTGGAGTATGTGTTGATGGCATCAATATAAGAAGGGGAGGTTTTGTCGGAACAAGAGTGAACCGCTACGCGTTTGTTCAGTTTCTTTGTTTTTATCTCTCTCTTTCTTCAGAAAAGCAGAAAGAAATAACCCATTCAAATTAAGAAAGAAAGAAAGAGCAATTCCAATCGCAATGGCAGATCAACTCACCGATGAACAGATCTCTGAGTTTAAAGAAGCTTTCAGCTTGTTTGACAAGGATGGAGATGGTATCTTCAATTCTATCATTTTTCTGTCTTTTCTAAATATTCCTTTTCATATTTATTTCATTCCCATCATCATGTTAATTAGCTCATTCCCTAGATCTTTTTAAAACTATTATTGTTGTTTTTAGATTATGTGTTTTTGCCATTTTCTGTTTTGTTGAGCTTTTTATGCTTTTCTTGTCCAAGTTATCAGAACAAAACAAAGAGTTTACATTACCAGTGGTATAGTTTTTTTTGTGCATTTTTGGAATATTGTATGCGAAAAAGGTAAAACGTTATTGAAAAAAAAAAAGTATATACAATGTCACATATAATCTTAATTTTTAGTGATTCAAATAATGAAACTTATACATTACTCGTATAAAAAAAAAATAAAAGAAACAATTTGCTTTTGTTTATCTTTTCTTTCATTTTGGTTTCAAGTAATAACAACAATACATCAAATATAATATGATTGTAGTAAAAAAGGGAATTTCAGGTCTTGCTCACGCTTATGATTTATATAAAACACAGAGACCATTTTAAAGAATTTTTTTTTCCAAATTCACGAAAATTTCCTTAAAAAATATATTTTAAAAAAAATTATAGATCTTTCTCAAAATTTAACAAGATTTTAATTATGAGTCACTCATAGATTATGATGAAATTTTTTATATATTTCGCAGTTTAGTGAAATTTTAATTATAAACTAGTTTTAAAAACAAAATATGATTTATCTTTTCTTTATTCCGGGAAGGGATCTAAAAATCTGTGTTAAAACCAATTTGGAAGATTTTACTGCAGATTGCAGAACACTTGTCAATTTGTCTAATTCTATTTGTGACATTCCTATCAACACGATTAAGTGCATATTTGAAAAAGTTTTCTTTTTAAATAATAGCTTATTAGCTCTTTGGAAAATGTCGAATATAAATGATTTTTTTAAAAAATAAACTGAACTAAACACGCAGTAATAATTTTAAGTGTATGTTATGAGGATGTGCTTAATTGGGATCTTCTTGTTGGTGTGTAATGAAACATTATAGGATGCATCACAACAAAGGAGCTTGGCACTGTTATGCGGTCATTGGGGCAGAACCCAACAGAGGCAGAGCTGCAAGACATGATCAATGAAGTAGATGCTGATGGTAATGGCACAATTGATTTCCCTGAGTTTCTAAACCTTATGGCTAGGAAGATGAAGGACACTGATTCTGAGGAAGAGCTGAAAGAGGCATTCAGAGTTTTTGACAAAGATCAAAATGGGTTCATTTCTGCTGCTGAGCTTCGCCATGTTATGACAAATCTTGGGGAGAAGCTCACTGATGAAGAAGTTGATGAGATGATTCGAGAGGCTGATGTTGATGGTGATGGCCAAATAAATTATGAGGAGTTTGTTAAGGTCATGATGGCCAAGTGATCATGCACCATCTCTACTCAATTCTTAATTAATGTCAGAAAAACATCTTAGGACGTGGTTGACTTGTGTTATAGTACACCTAGTCCTTGCCCAATGTCCTTCCCTACTCTCTTTTTTCTAAATTTTTATTTTATGGTTTTTAATTCAATCTTGATCACAATTAGTGGTAAACTCTGCTGCTAATGGTAATTGTGGTGGAATGGTGTCTTTCTAGTTTCTCTTGTTACTTGTGCCTCGAGTTTTAATGTTCATTTAACTATGCTTTCTTCCGCTCTTAGTCCTTGGTTTCTTTTGGAACCCTGTTTCTTCAGAAACAACGTTTAAAGATGTCCCATTTCTGTTTGCATTTGAAATTGTGCGAATCTAAGCTTTTTTCGTTGAGCTGATGTTTTGTAAATGTGATTCAGGACTGATTCAAACTATTTTAAATTATTAACTAAATTTAAAAATAATTAAAAAACAATTAAACAGTTAATTGAAGAAATCCAAGAGCCAAAAAAAAAAAGTATTTGGTTTGGTTTAGTTGCTTATTTTTATATTCAACATTGAACCGAATTAAATCTCAAAAATACTAAACTTCTATCACTTTTCTTATTCTATCTGCAGATAAATTATAACCCAAAAGCCTCTGTGTTGTTCAATTTTTTTATGAATATGTGTTTATGTTTTTAGAAAATTCGAGATTATTATGCCATATAATTTATAATGTAAATAAGTTGTGATTTATAATATGATTAAATATTTAAATACGTTTTTCTTATTTGTATTATATATCTGTATATTTGTCTTTTTACTTAAAAAGTGTTGTTCAAACAAAAGAATTGGTTATCAAAAGAATTAATGTATTGAATGGAGATTCTACTCTTCCTTTAGTTAATAACATTTCATTTGCTTATTAACCCAAAGAATGTATTATATATGTTTATGTTTTGTTTTGTTTAGTTTAAAAAAATAAAAATACATTATCATTTTTTCAGAAATCTTTTAAAATATTATCGATTATTGCTTTAAACTAATTTATTCTCAAATAAGCAATCATTCGCATATTATACTTCTTAAATATTGAGCAGGGTCTCATTTTGGCTTAAATCAAAGCTTAGGGATTGAGTGATCATATCTGCATATGAATGTATTAGTAAATTACAAGTAGTCAAATGCATGTGCTTCGACAATTTAATTGCTAAATAAAGACTTTAAGAAGCAACGGGTGAAAGTCCTTTTGAGGATTACTTGGTCCATGATAATCTCCTTCATACCGAAAAGAAAAAGGTCTTGATGAAAATTTTAGATAAAAACTTGGATAAACTTTTGGACAAGCAGCGATAGAAGAATGAAAAGATTTTTAAAAAATAAAAAATATAAATTAATATTAACTTATAAAAAAATTATTTTCTTATTTTTATCTTTTATAAATATTTTTGAGAATTTTATTTAAATTTTGCCAAATTCTTATTGTAAAGGAAGTATCTTAAGTTATGAATTAAACTATGTGTAAAAAAAGAACCATATGTAAATTGTATTTAGTTTTTGAGGAAAATAAACACCAAAATTTGTAAGTTATACTCCTTTTTTGTTTTACTCATAAAAATAAATTCCAGCGATCAAGATCAATGATTTAGGGAAAAAAATGTTTTAGTAGCAAGTAATTTTTAATATATTGATAACATTATATATTATATTTTTTTCATAAACCTTAAATTCTTAAACAAAGAAACCAGTCTAAAAATATATATAAAAACCATTTTTTTTACATAGTGTGAAATTCTACTAATATAAAAGTGAGAAAAAGTATTAATCAGTTTATAAACAGCTTATAACTTTCGCTCCTTTTAATTTATTTTAATAATTTTTTTAATATAATTTATCAAATTAAGTTATTCTACATAAATAATAATTAAAAAAAAACTTATAAAATAAATATTAGCTAAATTGTGTATCTAAACACACTATAAGTCCATTTTATAAACCATTTAGAGTAGCTAAGTTAAAGTAAAAAGTTTAAAATTAAAAAATTGCAAAATTATAAAGGTTTAATTAAAAAAAAAACATTTTAACAATTATCATGAATTGCTTAGATTACTGTGACTGACTAATAATATATTTCCTCGCATTCAGCTACACTTTTTCCTTCTTTTATCTTTTTGGCTTCATAACTCAAGTTAAACCTAAAAATCAACCCACATGTGCAGTTTGGATTCAAAAGAAAATTTGCAATCCCAATCCATCATACTGCACACTTTTTGATAAATGATTTGAATCCAAAAATAACCCAACTGGTAGACCATTCTTCTTCCCCAAAATATGAATATTACCACCAAAAGATGCAAGACATGATAACTAACACAAGTCCAAACAAGTTCAATTTCATCCATTTACGGCCAATGGAAATTACTCATTATAAAGCAAATGTTGAACCCATCCCCCCCCCCCCCCCCCTCTCCCTCTCCCTCCTTTTTTTCCTATGAAATTGCAAAACTAAGCCACAAATGAAAAGTTCAATTATTGAACAACATTTTCACAATCTTTTCAAACTTTTCTTTCTAGCATCTATCTTCTTCTTGTCCACCTGAGCTTTTGCTTGTCCACCTTCCTTCTTTTGTGGTGCAGAAGCAGAAGAAATTACTGTACCAGTAGTAGAACCATTAACTATTGTCTCAGTCAAAACTGCCGATGCTGCCTGTTCTTGACTATTTCCTCTTGTGACAGTGGTTGCAGGCGATGGCGATGGCAATGGCAATGCAGCACTCGCGGGTGAGGTTTTTACGTCAGCACTAAGCACTGAGGTGTTTGTCTGATCAACATTCAGCGCAGTTGTTGATTCAGATATAGCTCCACTTTTAAATTTGGGCTTTGGTTTTGCATGGATTCCAGTGTAGAGCCTGCATCCCACAACTGAAGCTCATCAAGTGCAAAAATTTTATGAATCAAATAGCAAAGAAACTTGCTCCCAAACATTTTTCATAGTCAAAAATTTGTCAAACCCAAGAAAGAAACACCTGAATTTAAAATCAAGACAAGATTTGCGTATCCCTCCACAAACATGAGATATGATATGTCCTACAACGCATGGAATAACTGAAATTTCAAGTAGAATAGCTACAGTAACATAGCTTCAACAAGGTAGGTAAGCTCAGAAAGGTAACTTAAATCAGGTAACTGAAAAGATCTTAAGTAGATATATATGGGTGTCAGGCTGATGAACTTTGGCAGATGAAGAAAGACAATAAGTTAAATAAAAATAAAAATGCTCAACATAATTCTTGCTTCAAGTTTAAATTGCCAAAAAGATTCCAGAAGAGGGGTTCAAAACTTAGGAAAAATGTTATATTGCCCTGCTTAAGGAAACAAAAGTAGAAAATATTTAATGAGAAGGAAGGAATTTACGATATTAAATACACAAACCATTTAATACTTATACTTGCAAGTAACAGAAAGTATTTAATTAACTTATATAAAGGCCTTGTTTGGATGAACTTATAAAAAGTCCTCATAAGAAAAAATTAGTAAAAATAATAAATAAAACTTCTTTCATAAGTTAAACGAGAGAGCTTCTCAAAACTTCTCAAAAAATAAAGTATAAGTTGTTTTTAACTTATGAGAGAAGTTTCATTCATTTTTTATATTGATTTTTCCTCTTATAAAGGAATTTTATAGAAGTTTACCCAAACAGAGCCAAAATGCTCTATCACCAATCCCTTAGGTCACTCATTAATGAGATCCTAAACTTAGTAAAGACTCTAAGTTTCATGTTAATTTTCAAAATTCACATACAAAAGATTAACAGGAATAGCATCATTGGCTTAACTCACCTTGCATGTCTAGCATACTCCTCATAATTTTCAAGCAGCAGTTTGCCAGCCTGTTCATTAAGAGCTGATTCTGGAAATGGTTCAATCAACAGACACCTAACAACCTGTTCATTATGAGAATCAATGTTAATAAATACAAAGACCAACAAGTACAACTTAATTTGAAAAGTCAAGAATATCTAAAACACTTACAATAAGAACATGTCGTAGCCCAAGGCTAGGATTCCAATCCTTTTTAAGTGTGTTGACACAAATTTCTCCATTGGTTGCAATATTTGGATGGAAAATCTTGGTCAGGAAAAAACCTACAACATTAAATTCAATAGCTTCACAAGTTTAACAGCTTTGCAAAAGAGAAAAGAAAGTATGTTATTTTGTCAAATAGAAAAAATAAAGCTATACAAGATTGGAGGCATATAAATCTCTTTTGGTCAAATAATAAAAGACAAATTGCATCCAACAAGAAAAATCAAAAGGAAAATCAATATTCCAAAGGAAAAAACTAACAGTATAGTACTGTCTTAATAATGTAACCAGACAATTATAAAATGGTCCATATGGGCAGTGTAAAACACACCTTTAGGGGGAGAATGCGGAAAATCATGGGACAGTAACAGCTTCATGCGGAAAACTCCATTCTCATAAGGAGTTCCAGCTGTACAAATATATTACTCTGGTTCAGCTTGAGCTCTTTACAGTATGGCAAGCACTAAATCACACAATAAACACATAAGGTTACTTACCCGGGCCATCAATGTCAGCATATATCGTTGAAAAATCATCATCATTTACCACAACTTTAATGCCCTCAGGAGGGGATTCATCTAGATTTTTCAACTCCTTGGCAAGTTGCTTTATTACATTTGGCGGTAAATTCTCATTGGTGGCCTAAAACAAGAGCACCATACTACAATGTAAGAATATTAAACGCCCCAAATGAAATTAAACAACTGTGAGCACGAATACATGCATATAAAATGGCAGATAACACATGATCTGTATTATGATAGCTACAGTAAAGTAAGCTAAAAAATGCTTACCATCAGCACAAAGGCACCTGCTCTCTCTGTTTTGTTTTGCCACTGTCTGCGAATGACCCTTCCCAAACAAATAATTGAAAGAGATGCAACCACACCAAAGGAAAAGTCCCTGCAGAGATATATCTATCACAAATAAGTGAAAGTATAAATATTGTAAGGTCAGATCATTTTATCAAATTATTAAGCACAAACATGGGATTAAAAAAATAGTAAACTTAAGTACTAGCCGTAAACCAACAAACAATCTCAATAGCATTGTATGAAAACCAATATTCCATTTCTAGCTATCCCCTCATGAGAAAAAATTAACCAGTAAATTCAAATAATAAACTGTAAGCTGTTGTGAATCAAACTCATATTGCACAACCCAAAACAAAAATCTTTGACTCATAACCTAACCTAACCTACCCCCCTCCCAAAAAAAAAAAAAAACAAAAATAGTTCACAATTTAATACATGCAAATTAACACACACACCCACAGAGAAGGGCATATCATGGCATCCAAGGTTATACACACCGCAGAACGTAGAGAAAATTTATACTCCCAATCTGCTTTAGAAGTAGAACACAAACCCAGGAAATGAATTACCAATTTCAATAGTAAAAAAAAAAAAAAAAAACCTTTCAACTTCATAGAGTTCCTGAACATGAATTGTCTCATTTACCACAAAACCCTTGATATGCACAAAATATGCACAGGATAAAAACAAACCGTCGCTTTTCAACGCACCAAAAATTGAGAAAACTATTTTTTGAAACAAAAGAGAGTCGATCACACCAGCAAAAACCTACTGGGAAAAATGAAAGTCCCAGAATCTCAATATTCCTAACCTAACTCAAAAATAAATTATTACCTATCAGATTGGAAAAACATCATTCTCAAGGCGATACAGAAAAATAAAAGTAATAACAATCTGGGTATCACCGAAACCCGAAACCTCCTCCAATTCAACATAGATTTTGAACCAAAAGAGAAAAAAAGAAGTCATCTTATCCAAATTCAACACAATTCCACACAAATACAAAACCCACAAATGACAAATCAAAATGTATGATACCCAGATAAAGATTCACCTTCACAGAACAGAAGAAACTAAGAGCTTTGAGGGTGCAAGAGGAGTGAGAGAGAGAGACAGAGAGCCAGAGAGAGAGAAAGAGATCCCTCCTTGGAATGAATGAATGATTGATTGGTTGAACTTTGAGGACACAAAAATTTAATATTTATTCGTAAGGTAGGAATGAAAATGGAGACGCCATTCATTAATTAATTAAATTTAAAAAATGTAAAGTTATTTGACGAATTTGGATACTTTAATCAAATCATTAATTGCTTAATCAGAAATTAGGTCTAAAAATTATGATTTTGAAATGACGTGTTGCTAGGCCAGATCCTCTGGATTTATAGACGTTGGATTCTTCATGTCTACCTAAAATGGAAAGCTATTCCACGCGCTCTGGCTGAGTGTGAACTACACTTTCTGTTTGGTTTGCACCATTCATAACGGTATAATAATGATTTGAAAATAAAGTATTTTTTTCTTGAACTAGTACAAACTAGTATTCATATACTATTGCACATTGTTTTTTGACAGACACAGGGTGCCACAATGATTAAAGGCTGTGCAAACCAATTTAAGCTAAAAATGCAATAAAAGTTAAAATAAAAGTGTATTAATAACTTTATTTATGTATGATAATTAGATTAGACCAATGACAAAATAGATGGTTAAAAATATTGAGACACATATACATTATGTGGATAAGCCAATGATTTTAAACTAGGTGTAGAGTTGTTGTAAATTGGGTGTGAACCAAGAGCATTTTACTTATTTGAACTGGTGTCATAATATTAAAAAAAATTAAATTAATAATATAAAAATTTTAAACTCAAACTTAACCAAAGCAAATCGTAATTCGAACGTTACGGGTAGGAAAGTAATATAAGGATTAACTTTTATTTTTTATTTTTAATTATTCAATAGAGACAAGTATATCATTATAATGATATGTTGTCTCAGCTTGTTTAATACATTTATCATACTTTATAATATAATAATAATAGTTATATGTTTAGGGACAATTATCTTTTACATGAAAATAACATTTTAAGATTGTAAATTTAATATGAATCTAATAATTTGTATAAAAGTAATAAATATGAACAAGGTAAAAGCTTTCTTTTTGTTTTGGCTATCAGAAAATGTATAAATCTTCTCTATCTAATAATAATACATTGGCACATTATTAATGGATTATTAAACAGAGATTGAAATAATGATTTTTTATAAATTGATAAATGATAATTTGATTTTTTATTTTATTCAAACTTAAACATAAAAGTACAAAATTAATAAAATTTAATCTGTACAAATTTGCACATAAATAAATTAATAGTAATTTAATAAATCGTTTAAAACAAAATATATAACAAAGATAAATATGTACGCTTCATGTACCAAAAGAAATACCGTAAGTTGTAAGCATATTTCAAAATGATCTACTGGTAACTAATTGACTTAAACAATAAGAATAGGAATAGATGTTTGTCATATTCGTTTCAGTGCTGCGGAGGTTTGGGTTATTTATAGGTTGAGTTGGGTAGAGTTTATTTAAAATAATTATTTTATTTGATTGGAATATAATATGTTAATTTTTATTTGTTAACAAATTTATGTGGATTATAACGAATCGGCAGAGATTGATTAATTAAATTTAGACTTATTTTTTTAAAAAAATTATGATGTATAAAATAAACAATTATTAAATTAACTTAGAATTTTATTAAAATTTATATAAAAAATATTAATTTATAATTAAACAATAAATTATTTATTAATAATCACATTTAAGATCACATATTAAAATGTTAAAATATAATATTGAGAGAAATAAATTGGGTTGAATTTAAGACTGAAAAAGTAGATATCCAATCTGAAAATATTAAATTTATAAGTTTTAGAATTTAATTATATCTGATTATTTGATAACTACTGCAAATTTTATCTTTCACAACAAATATTTATTAGCAATAAATTAATTGCTGGTACATTTTTATGAAGTCTAAAATTATTAAAACTAATGAATATTAGTCACTAAAAACATTATTTATATCAATATTATTTTAATTGTCAATATAATTTTATTTTATCTGTCAAAATTTACACTTTAAATTCATCTCATTCAATTATCAATTTCTTTTTTTTTTATACAAATTTATTGTTTTCGACTTCTGCTCCAAATAAAGTAGGGAGTTTTCTCTGTTCATTGTTAAGTTCATCACGCTTTTACTCTATTATGAGAATCAATTATTTATTATTCGTCGTTATGCTCAAAATTTTCTTGGTTGATCGGGTTTTTTTCCATTTTGTTAGAATTAATATGCCTTTGTTAACACACTTTATGGATCATTATTTGCATTGCCGTTGACACAGGTAAATCAAGTTTTCCTTTGTGAATTTTGTTTTGAATGTTTTTGCATGAAATCAATTGTGTTCATTTTAATAAAATAATTTGTGATGCTCAATGATGCACTAATTTTGGTTGTTGTTCTGAGAAGTTCAAACCAAATACTTTGATTCTCAACTCAATAATCTCCAACCTAATTCCTTGATTCAAAACTTAAGTTTGATTTGCTCATATCAATCGATGAATTCTTATTGTGATTATGCGATTAATCAAATTGATTGTTTATGTAATTGTTTAGATTGATGTATTTTGTGAATCTTAAATAGACAACTGGTTAATGATATAGGTAAAAATCTAGTTAAGTGTAATATGTATGACTCTATAACTATCTAGATTGTCAGTTATTGGTCAAGTTATTGATGTAAATTTAATTTTTCTAGATTGCTAACAATATATTTGCATATGTTCTTGTTAGAGCTGGATATTCATGCCCTATTACCACAGAAAATAAAAATAAAAATAAAACCTATCTAACTCAATGTCTGAAAGATAAACATACAAATTCTTAATAGTGATAAATGTATTGATACATGCTTTCAAATTTTTTATTAGTGTATGTTCCATTAAATATTTCCATCTATATGAAATTGTGATACTCTTACTTTGAAATTAGTTAGTGAGGCATGTTATTATTGTTTCCTGTTTAATACTTTTTGTTAGTCATATTCTTATAATAATCAAACTACTAAATATACAGTGTCCCTTTTAGCTACTACTAAAATTTGTTGCGGATTCAAAATTTTCTAAGATGAATACTATTTAAAGAATTGTTAGAGTCAAGTATATGTATATCATAAAAGATATTATAACGAATCACTTACAGTATATCTGCATATACTCATTGTGTAATTTACTATCTTTATCCTTTTAATTACAGGAGAGTTCTTTGACATGCTTATTGTAGTGGCTCTTCAAGCAATAAGCTATCAAAGTAAGAACTATTTTCAGAGTTTGCCCTCTCATTCATTCTTTCTATTTTACCTATATTTTTTCATTTATTAACCCTGTACATTTTCACTTTTGCAATAGACCAATATAAGATAATTCAATTTCATGTCATGTCATAGATCAATTTATCTATCACTTAGTTTTAAATATGAATTAATGTACTTGTTAAATATAGTTGTACTTACCAATACATATAGGACTTAAATAACTTACTTATTGCTCTAAATTTAGTGTAATTAGATATTCCTCTTCCTCTTATTTAGTTGATATTGTTAAATAGTTGATATTGTTATTTGTCGAATAAAATTTATTCATACATTACTTGTTTTTCAAGATTTCTTCTTTTTTTCTTTTACTCATTTTTCACTAGTTTAATATTAACACCTTTCACTATTATTTCAGTTTTAATTCTTTTACTGATACTATTATTGACAATTTAGTTTAAGATAGATATCCAATTCTAAAATATTAAGGTGGGTTGTTGTTTTTCTTTCATGTAATCCAATTTTTTGTATTTAATATTAAGTACCTTACATCATATTTTTATCCATTAATAAACACTATAAGATAAAGGTGTGATATAAAATTAATTTTTTAAATTTAAAAATTGTGTAAAATAAGTGTGTGTGTGTGTACATATTAATGTAATAAAATATATATTTAGTTATTTATATTAATTTATACAAATTAATGAAATATCTCAATTTTTATTAACTGTTAAATACAATTTTAAGATGAAATACAAGTGCAATAAATTTTTAAATAAATTGATTCAGTTGTTTTTTGCTTTTTTGGGTATATTTCAATTAATCTTCATATTTTAACAAAATTGGAGTTGAACTATTTTAATTAGTATCAAAGTCATAAATAATTCATCATATATAATCTTCGAATTCAGATCTAGATCTACAAGGTATTCTCCATAGTTGGTCGTTACGTAGTCTTTTCAGGTTTTAGACATTGAAAATGATACAATCACCAGAAATAGGAGAATTTTTTGCTTCAATTATTTTATTTTTCTTTTCTTGTGAATTTAGTTTAAATAGAAAAATTCCTCTATCTCATATTACAAGTTTCATAAAAAAAAAAAAAAGGGAACTATATATTAATAATAATTATAAAATCAAGGAAACTTATGGTAAAAATTTGGCTCTTAAAATTAATATTATTGTACCCTTTCAAATAAAATGTTTGCTTTGAATATGATATACAATACAAAACAACTGATATATCTAATCTTGTCTCTTATCACACTACAAGAGTTCATAAAAGCATTGTTATACTTGAGACACAACGTCAATCATGATTAAGCTTAACAAGTTTAAAAATAAAATTTGAAGTTAAGTGAACTTAATCTAACAAATTAATTGAGGTATCTTTGTCTGAAAATTAGATTTTGATTAGACTAGTCAAATTACTCGAAACAACATCCATTTTAGATTAAAGATTGTTTCATGTACGGCTTATAGATTGTCTTATGGGTGGCTCCAATTTGTTATTACCTGTAAAACAATGGTTAAAGTATTCTCAATGCAAATTTTGGTACAACTTTTAGAAGACTGAGTACTATTATCTTAGCAAGTAAGAAAGAAGAAATCTTATTTAAAAAAATTAAGAAAAGAGAAACCAATAGAACATATAAAATAAAATAAGAATAGAATAAAAACTATTGCTATTTAAATAAATAAAAATGTAACAAAAATATTTTTACTGATTCAAAGAAATAAAAAAGAAAATAAATAATAAGAAATTATATAAAATGATTTATAATTATAAATAAATTAGTTTGATAAAAA